GCTCGTCATAAGTCATTCCCATATCCGCTTCATCTGACTGTGTAATTTGTCCAGCTATCAAGGGCTCTAGTTCTGCTGTAGGAGTGGCATTTATTATATCATCGATTGATGACAATGAATACTTAGTTCTAAAATATCTAAGAAACATTTTGAGATCCGATTTTGAAATGCCACCAATTGGATTGACATCAGCACTTGAACAGTCATATTTTGTCATATATCCTCTTAGAGCTTCATCAACATTAGCTGACCCTAAAACCAAAAGTCCTCCTTGTCTACCACGGACCCAGAGCATTAATTGAGCGAATAAATATGTCAGAACCATTCTCAATCGAGCTTGCACATTTTGTAAGGCAAGAGATTCACGCGGAGATCCACCATATACAGCAAATTGTGGTGTTTTACCAGTTAGACCAACAAATACGGAGATCACTGATGATACAACCTTATCAATAACAACACTCAAATGATAACTAGATATTTGAGAAGATAATTCTTCGGCTCGTTTTTTTGTTTGAGTAGACGAATTCTCGGTAGCCATGTAACACGTTGTAAACAATTGATTGCACAGTTCTCTTGCATTTGGGGGGAAATAATTTTGTTGACCAACTATTGTACGTACTTCATTCAAAACTTGTGTGTCACCGTCTTTACATGCCTGATATATTAAATTGCACATTGAAAATACTATGCATGCTGTACTTGATGAATCAACACCACCACTCAATGGCAAAAAGTATCCACCTTGCTTAGAACGTCTTAAATAATCCCAAAGCCAACATGCTGGTCCTAAGGCGATCTCTTCTTCAGGAGGTAAGCATTTAAATTCTGTTAAAATGGGATCTGGTATTTTACGTGTTTCTCTTGATAAACTAAAGTCTTGTACATTAATCCTGTGGTAAGACTCTGAACTAGAGCTAGATCTAGACCTTATAGCATTTCTATAGCTGCGAATATCTTCTAAATCAATTGTAGCACACGTGACTTCTACTTCTTTTAGATTAAATTGAGTACCAACTTTTATTAAAGAACCATTCATCACAATGTTTGAGCAACCATTGAAGTAAACACGTTGACCATCACACCCTCTAAGATTACTATACAAATAACATCCACCATTTTTAAAAGTGGCAGATTTAATCAGATCTAAAACAAGTGTAGATTTCCGCAACTCCATATAAGAACCAGAACTATTGACAATTATTTCAACGCCGTCCATACATAACGGAATATGTGTACTATTTGGGGTCCACAATTCTTCACATATTTCATATCCAATACACGTATCGGAGGTGGCAATAACAGCATCTCCAAAGGGTACAATAGTTTGGCCTGTATGTTTTTGCACAACTCGAGGTAGGTAAAAATCTTCAATTGTTCGTAATTTTCTCCACGGAGTAAACCAGCGAGATTCTCTATAATTACCAGAATCACACATAAGTAATTTGGGTCTAATCAATAAAATACGTTTGTTAAGAAACACAACTCGGCAATTGTAGGTGGAGTTCTTGTGCATCACTGGCATGCCAACATCAATCTAAATGTACATTTAATATTAATAATGTATTAAAAAAAATAATTTGTGCTAATGTACGGTCAAATAAATAATGTCTGTAACAAACCAAAATATCTGATGACGATTGATGAATCATTATTTCAACCAGAACTTGCCACGAGTGTAAAAGTGTGTCACTCTCAAGGAAGTGATCTTCACAACTGTAGCCACATATTTCAAGTTCAGGCCCACTGCGATATGTTGCATTGCATTGCTTTGCAATTTCAATGCTTTCCAATATACGACGTTTATTACCATCAAAATCTAATGACCATTGATTCAAGCAGCTTACGGCTACAGTAGCTAAGCGACCCATTTTTTCAACTGAAACATATTAAAGTAGATGGAGAAAATAAATTAATATTGTCAATGTATCAAACTTGACATTGAGGATAGTTTAGTCGATAGAAAAAGTTGATATACCTACAGTTAAATTCTATGTTTTTAAATAAATTGATTAGAAATTGAGGGAAGTTTTTAAATTTGTATAGGTAAGTATATTAAAAGCATTCTAAAAGAATAATAATTAATATTTATACATATTAGAGTAAAAGATGCCCGGATACAATTAATAAACAAAATTTATAAATATTACATATAAGGTTCAGTGTTAGCATACATAATAATATGTATTATGTATCAATAATATATAATATGAAGACATAGTGTTGGCTACCTATCATCAACAGCTTTTTATTTTAGAAAATAAAAAGATTATGGTTGGAAGTGAGTACAGATATTAAGAAAACTATGAGACCGAGAGACACCTACGCCAAACTTCTTCAATTTCACCTGAACCATTATTGTTGGAAGATTTCTAGAATTTATAATAATTGATAGGTAGGTATCTAATGTATAGCATTTTTAAATGGCATCTCAACAACTTATCCCCGGTAATATGTATTAATTGTTTATGTTTTTAAAAATCGTACTTCGTCTGCATGAAATAACTATACTATTAATATAATATATTTTCGTTTTTATTAAGGGTATACAATTTTTTTTTAATAGGTACCTACACATATATTATTTACAACAATAATTGTACCTAACAATAATAACACTCATGTTCAACTTAACTGTTCAATAAGTCCAATTATTTTATTGCCAGTGATGTATTGTTATTAGGTACCTATTGTAAATTGGAAGGTATTATAAAATTATAACTAATATACTTCATAATATGGGTACCTACTCACCAATAACGTAGGTATGGAGATTCTTGCTTTAATCGGCAAACTGTGAAAATATTATTACTCACATAACAGCGTTCACGGCAGTGTTTGATCAATCGTTTCCATATTTTCAAAACGTTACAAAATGCATGTGGCCTGCCAGGATTGTGTTTCCTTAGTTACACAGGACTACCACAGTCCACAGGTCTGACTCGGAAGTCGGAGGTCACTGAATAATATTAATATTATACCGAAATACCTAATAGGAATGCGAAGATAACAGCGTTGATAAGAGATAACAGCCAACAGGTTCACTTATTGCGATCAAAATTTTTGTTGTAAGACGTAATTTCTGAATATAGATAGAGTACCTATTAGAGTAGGTAAATTACATTATTACTTATTAGTTTTAGTTAATACGTAGGTTTTGTCAATTGGTAGTATAAACTAAATTATACTAACCTACTTGCCTAGTTGCCTCACGCCTGTTTTACGACGTAATTATTTAAACAAGTTCAGACTGCCAGCCTGGGGTTCTTTAGATGAAAGACATAAGAGTTTTGGATACACGCTTTATATAGGGACTGTTCAGTGGCCATATAGTATCATACTAGTGAATAGTCATTTAGAAACCCCTCGTCATGAAGGTCGAATCATCATACAGGTATCAAATCAACAGACTCATATCCAGGATTTTTTTAGGGGAGGGGGTGTTTAAATTTAACATGTAGGAAGCAAATCACACTCACCATTGAAGTCATCAATCTTTATATTACCAATATTATCAAATATGAAATAGAACCATACATGAAAATATATTTTGTATATAGTAATCTTAATTATAGTATAAGATAAATATTTTTTGCATAAATATGGCTGATGGGATTTCAATGCCACTGCAAATAGAATCAGGTGACATATTTTTATCTGACTGGGGCAAACCAACTTTTAAAATAATCCTTCTTTTACAAGAATCATTTGAGACAGCAATGCTTCTCATTAGCATGTTGACCACATTTACCTATACATTTCTTGTTTATTATTTTCACTGTTAATAACTTTGATATCTATAATGTGTAAATAACTGTTATTACTTATTATAACTAAAAACCGTTTGGTATTAAATATTTCAAATACATTTTGGATGTTGCTGTTTTCAGTTTTGACTTTTGAACAACTTGATATTGTATTTCAAGGTGCAATGATTAAAAGAGTCATAATATGTTTGTATGGTTATACACAATTTGATTTTACATAGTGCATAGTTGTTGGTATTTATATTTTTTGAAGAAAGAGCCATTAATGACGTTGAATCTAAAACCACAAGGTAAAATCCTTGTGTAAAACTAGGGCTTATGAATTAAAAATAAATATAAACCAATAATTAACAAGTAATACTGGCTCTATTGCAGCATACATAGATACAAATTAATATAATTGCATGTAAATTAATTTAAAAGTTTTTACAGTTTCATCTCTACAAAAACAACATCTTTATTTAATATTATATTACACATTTTACAGGAACTAGAATGTACGTGTTCCTAAAAAAAAATTGTTTGATATTACAACACAATGTGTAATATCAAAGTGTGTAAAATTGAAATTTAATTATTTATAACATTAATATAAATTTGAGTATTTTTTAAAACAAAATGTTATTATTACTTGTTATAATTTTAAAAATTTTAAATTTAATGTAAAAAAAGAATATTTAGTTTTTATAGTTTTTTGGTACCTTCTGAGGATATTTGTTGATAACAAAAGGTAATTTTTGTCAACAAGTAAAAGGCTTGGAATATGTATGACCATGGCTCATTAAATAGTTGCAATAAATGATTTTATTACATTCTATCAAATATAGTAATATAATATGTACACAATGAGTAATGAACACTATATTTTAATACTTATATAATTCAATTTTGTTTTTTAAATTATCTTCTAGTTTGCTTCGAAACAACTATTACAAATTAAATATTTTATACTAGAATAGAAACTAGTGTACACAGAAAATATTCAATTTTTGCAAATAATTTATTGAACAGGAAAATTTAGTTATATACGAATGTTGTAAAACACATTCACAAATCACATGATTCAGAAAAGTATACTGGTAAATACAATAACTTTAGAATCAATAAAATGCATGTACACTAAAAAATTATTTATTTTAAATCATTATTATTGAATAACAAATTACATTATATTAAATTACTTAGCTTCGAAACAAGAACAGGTATTTAACCAATAAACATCAGTACAAATACTTAACGATCAATTTCACCAAACACAACGTCAAGTGTTCCTAAAAATACAAATATTGAATGTAAATGAATCACTGCTCAATTATACTTAAAAATAATAATTAAAATTTGTAGCAATATGTTAGTAATTACCGATAATAGCCACAATATCTGCAAGGAAGTGTTTTTTGCCTATCTTCTCTAATGCAGCAAGATGTGCAAATCCGGGTGCTTTGATTTTACATCTATACGGTCTAGAAGTACCATCAGAAACTAAATAGACACCAAATTCACCTATAAAATATAATTAATAATTATTTAGAACTAAATAAAAAACACAAATAACATTTTTATATTACCCTTGGGTGCTTCAATGGCAGTATATGTAGCACCTGGAGGTACTTGATAACCTTGGGTAAACAATTTGAAATGATGAATTAGGGCTTCCATGGAGTTCTAAAAGTATAAATAAGTTATAATAGTTGTAGTGCTAAATATATTGGATATTAGTTTATTACTTTCATCTCTGATCTTGATGGGGTCGATACTTTCATGTCATCAGTTTTAATTTCACCAGCTGGCATTTGATTCAAACACTGTTCAATAATTCTAAGTGATTGCCTCATTTCTGCAACTCTACATAAATATCTGAAAATACAAGTAAAACGTTAAAATATTTAAAAACATAACATTACCTATACAACAATATAAAATGCATTAGGTACACCTTAATAAAAATAAATTGACATTGTCTTGAGAATAGAGCATTCTTATAATAGATATTAGATATATTAAATTTTTTAATTTATTTTTTTATTGAGCTTAGCCTGGCAACTATGGTCATTAGCTGTTTTTTTTGGTTTTTAGTGGGGAGGAACGGTTGGTTGAAACATGTTTGTATGTGTGGCAAGGATTTGTAGCTAAAAATCCTGGGTGGTCACTCATCCGAGCTAGCAACACCGGCCGATATGTACACTCAGAGCATTTCCACAGTTGAGTGTACCACGCCACAATTTATATTTATTTTATAACAATGGAATGTTTTTTTTAATCATTTAAAGCAAGTGGTGGATGGTAATGACTACAAAAATGAAGAATAAACATAGTAGGTAGGTATCACAAATATCAAACTATCAATTGATACTTCTGCCATAAAACAGTTCATTACATTTATAACGAGAATGAAAGAAGTCATTTTTAATATTCGTATCAAATAAAACTTTTGTCCATCATGACTGTGTAACAACCACTCAATTTTTGTACTTTTCATTAATCTGATATGACCTATTCTGATTCTACAAAGGCAAATTTATATAAATTGGACTGTTTTATTCAGTTGCACTACATTTTGATAGGCATTTATCAGTTATATAAAATAAATGGAAAATATTAATGCAAAAAATATAATGAAATTAGAAAATATGTTTAAAATGACAAAAGTTCATTACCTACATAATAATTTTATGTTCAGGGTGTTTTTTTAGAACTTCATAATAATCACACTATTATTAATATATAAACTAATAAAAAGTTTAATATTTTACATATGAGTATTCAGTAGACTGAGTGATGTAGAAGTACTATACAAATGCATAAAAACATATATCAATAAACATCACAATTTATTATTATTAATAACGCAGTCATAACAAGGCCTTGAAGTTTTATGTATTTATCATAGTAGCGACTAGCGGATCCGGATTGATTCAAGGGGGGAGGGGTTGGAATAATAGCCTTGATGTTTAGCATTGTCTCAAGTTAGATTTTAATAAATAATTAATATTTGTTAGATTAAAATTAACTATTTTTATTTTAAAACTAGTAGTTATATTATTGAGTTTATTTGTAAAATTTTCAAATACATTATTTTATTCAAATACACATTTTTTATAGTTTATTCTGTTTTATTTTTAAATTTAAATAAACAAAAATGTTTGATTTGGTTCAATCTCCAATGCTATTATTGACTATCACAATCATATTTTTTATGCCGAGAGCTGTGATGGATTCGAACAATAAACTATAAATTTGATTGACAAATCAATTTGTTTTAGTTTCAGAAAACAAAGATGATGAACATCAAGTTCTTATTACATTTCTTTTTATAATTGTATATCTTTACTTTATAGAACAAATGCATAATGCAATATTTTTGAGTATACATTATTATGGCATTTTTGCAGCATAATTGTAACTGTTAAGGGCATTTGAGTTTTGGGTTTTTTAGAGCATATTTTAATCTTACTGATAACTAACCTGTCATAACAATCACCACGAGTGCCAATAGGTACATCAAAATCAACAAGGTGGTATGCATCATAAGGTTGTGTTTGACGTAAATCCCATTTGATACCAGAACCACGTAGCATAACTCCACTAAGAAAAATAACATTATTTTAACTTCATTAAAGTTTTAATTACTCAGCATGACACTAACCTAAAACCTAAATTTAGAGCGTCTTCAGCACTCACAACACCTATATCACGTGTCCTAGCAATCCAAATTCCATTATTAGTAAGCATATCTTCAGTTTCATCAATACGTTCCCCAAACTTAGCCGAAAACTGATAAATATCATCCATCAATCCAAGTGGTATATCCTAAATAAATAAATTTTGATGTAAATATAATATATTCAATGTTATTTATGAAACTTAATGTTTACATACCTGAGACACGCCTCCAGGTCGTATGTAGGCAGCATGCATCCTAGCTCCAGATACTCTTTCATAGAATTCCATCATTTTTTCTCGTTCTTCAAATAACCAAAAGAATGGTGTCATAGCACCAATATCTAAGGCATGAGTGCCAATAGCCATAATATGATTTAACAAACGAGTAATTTCCGCAAACAATGCTTAAAAACACAAACATAAGTATTAAAAACAATTCATTATTAACATGAAAGCAGTTTTTATATACATTATACAGTAAAACCTCTTTATAATGGTTCTACTATAAGACTGAAATCTTCATACATTAGTTAAGTGAGTATAACCTATATCCCGTATATTTTAGTCACCCTGTAACAGAAACTCCTTTATAACGAAAAAAATCGGTTGGGAATTAATCATTTCATTATAAGGAGGTTTTACTGTAAGTGATTTATATTCTTACTTCTGATATACTTTGCCCTCAATGGTATATCAATGTTCAACAATTTTTCCACGGCCAATGAGTAACACTGTTCATTACACATCATAGATACATAATCAAGACGATCGAAATATGGCAATGCTTGAGTATATGTCTTGTATTCAATTAATTTTTCTGTACCACGATGTAAAAGTCCAATATGAGGATCAGCTCGTATAACGACCTACAACATAACAAACATTCAATGAAATTATGATTTATTTGTTATTAACAAGTTTTACCTCTCCGGCCAGTTCCAGTACTAATCTAAGTACGCCGTGGGCAGCTGGATGTTGTGGTCCAAAATTTATGGTCATGTTTTTCACTTCTCGTTCAATAGGCTGAGGATTAGAATTCCATGCTTCCACCTTCCAATCACCAGCTTCTTCAGGCACAAACATAACAGGTCGCTCGAATTGTTTCATTTCTTCGACACCCGGATACCATTTTGATGCACTCCTAACGTGTCTGTAAATAATAATTAATAGTTATGAGCATTATGCAATATAAATAATTTAATATTGATCTGATATATTTTACTTACTGATAGATTCGGTCATTTGCAGCCAAATACTTCGTAAGGTAGCCCAAGTTATTTCTTTTCACTAAATTCAAAACTGAAGCCATTTTTAATGTGAAAACTACTACGAGACAATAAGACCGAAATGGGAAACTTTAGAGAAAAGATCCCTAGCCTAGACCCTATCTCTATCGAAATTTTTTAGTGAGCGATTTAATTTTATCATTCTCTATCACTTATTTCTGTAGGTCTTCCTTGGAAGAATAAACTATATTACCAGGTTTTTCCAAACATTTGATAATAGGTATCATGAGCCGGATTGATATCTATTTATCTACGAGCCCGATTGCAGTAAAATAAAATATTAAAGTTTACGAATCAGATTATTAATTAATATCTTATATTTTCCAACTTTAATTTTTCTAGTGTCAGTTTTTATATTTCTCTATTAGTTTTCACGATGCTAAGTAATTTGTCGTTTCCCAATCTAATTTCTACTGTAGGGACATTATTACGTAAGTAATTAAAATTAAAAATTAACTACCTATTATTAAAAACATGTGTGTTTAAATTATTTATTTAGTTCGTAACAGTGTTCGACATGCTTCCAAAAAATCTGGTACAAGTACTGCCAATGTCGGTGGCCGAGTTCGTCCTAAACATAGAGGTATCAGATACAACGATGGCCGTGAAGTTCAGGCTGGCACCATGTTAGTGTTGCAGAGGGACCTGAGATTTCATCCAGGTCTTCATGTAAGTTGCTATTAGCTTATTTAATTTTTGAAACGTTGATTTAATAATTGTTTGTACAGGTTGGTTTTGGGCGCAACGGCACATTGTTTGCTTTGGAACAGGGTACAGTGGTTGTTTCGTGCGAAAAGATGGATCCAAATTGGAATCACACTTGGGTTCAAAGATTTTATGGCAACCGCAAAGGGCAAACAATTTACAAAAAATTCTTTAACATTATACCAAAGCCACAACACAATCGATTTAAGCTTGTTGATTCTATTTAGGGTGTTGTTAAAATTAAGGTTTCAGCTTATGAAATCTATTACTGTAATTTTTTGTAGAGATTTTTTAATCGTATTTATATGAAATAAACATATTATATCGTAATTTAATATTTATTTGCTTATTTGAATTTCAATTTAGTAACACATTTAAATAAATTTGATCAATTGTCATACTATTCAGATTGAAACTAAAATACCTATTATAGTTTCATAGGTATTTGATATTACATATAACTGAATACTATTATACTCGGGTTGAAGTGATAAAATATTTTATAAATATTAAATATGATTTTTTTTCTTTAAACTAAAGACTAAACGTTATGTATTGCTATTTATCGATAAAATAAAATCTAGTCTAGTTGGTACCAACGGTTGTAGATAAATTCTATTTTTTTATCTTCGCTATAGTTAATAAATAAATAAAGGTATCTTTATTATTTGCAATTATGAGTGCACTGATCCGTGGGATGTATCATGTATAAATGGATTTATGATTAAATGCACGCTCCAAATTTTGAGGCTAAAAATTGGAATATACCTATCCAAAATGGTTATATGTGTGTAGTCGGGGAAAGGTTGATTTAGTACTGTAAGTAACATGGTCGCATGTCATATTGGTTTCAATGTACATAATAATATAATATTTTTTTATTTTATTCAATATTTTATTATTATACTGTATAATTTTGTATAGGTATGTAATATGATTTTATAATTGTATACATTTTATCATATATTATTTACCAAATTTTTATTATATTTAATTTATGGTTTTTTTTTCATTCAAAACGTTAAGTATAAATAGTGCACCAAAATATTATTTTTTAATTAAAGTAGATAATGGAAGACCTTATTTTTAGCACTCTAATACCCTAACCCTAAACTTTTTCATTGAAATTGTTAAAATTTTGTTGGGTTATATTTATAGTGTTATACCTCATACCCTCAACTAATTGTATGGGAACATCACTAGATATAAGGAAGCATATTAAAATATAATGTATAAGTCTAAATGTATCTAAGATAAGTATTTTAAGTGTAAAGTGGGTGCTCTCGTTAAAATTCAGAATTTGATGAATTGAAAAGTTTTGATTGTATGTTGGATTCCTTAAATTTGTATGACATATTGGCGTATTGCTGTAAACACAAATTCACATTAATAAAGATAAAACAGGATTAGCTACCTCTCTATTGGACTATTTAGAGATATTTTTTGATCTTAGATGCAATAAATTTGGACATTCCGCGATCACTTGTCTCTCAAGTTCAACCAACAGCAAGTAAAAAAAACTACCTAAATACAAAGTTTCATCCCTGATAGTTGCTCATCTTTAAATACAGAAATACGGAAACAAAATATAAATTAAATTAACTGTACACCCGATGCTCTTAATATTGAATCTCAATAATTTAATAATATTACCTTACCAATAACAGTTGACACTGGGGCAAACATATTTTGTATTAGACAAGAACTACTACCCAGTGACCGTACAATCAGGTCGAGTACACTACAGCAGCTATCAGGACCCGATAATAAAACACTATGCATGCCAGGTATAACCAAAATTAAAATCAAAATCAACGATAACTACTTCAATTTTGACGCTCACGTAGTAAAAAAATTAAGCAGCGCAGTCATACTTGAAAATAACTTCTTCATCAAAAATAATGTCCTGATCGATTTCAAAGACAGTAACATTCTTCTTCTTCTTCGGCGTCTACAGGCGGCCATTAAGGTCCATCACTGCTCTGCTCAGCCTCTTCCATTCCTCTCTATCATTTGATAATTCTTCCGGGTTATCAACCCCAAGTATCCAACAATATTATATAATTAAATAAAATTATAAGGTACCATATTTAATTTCCCAGATAACTTTGCTATAGCTCTCTGTATATCTGCAGATCTCAAAATGAATAAGGGGTTGACAAATTTAATATCCAAAATATACAGTGGTACTAAACCACAACTTGCATTACAAGAAAAAAATGTGGGAGACACGATACCTACAGTGGCGTATTTACAATTTTGGCGCCCTAGGTACACACATTTTGGCTCCCCATTTTTCTCAGTTTCCTTTTATTCATCGTCACAAAAAACTTTTAAGCCCCCTCTAATTTAAAATTTACGTTTTCTCTCAGTTAATAGTGCAGGGCTTGAAACCGGTATAAACCGTTTAAAAACTGAAACCGATGACAAAATCATAATTGGAAACCAGAGTACAAATCGAAACCAAAACAGAAATTTTTTCAATTGGTTTCAACTTTCAAGCCATGTAAAAGTGATAATTGATAACCCAAAATGTATACTTTCTCCTTATTGCATTTATGCTTCCACTAATTTAGAGAACACTTTTATTTTACCATTAACACTCCATTTATTCCTAATAAAAAGTCAACCATTATAATAAAGTAAACAAATTATAATTTAGATTTCAGCCTTTTAGCTTTTTTTTACGATAATTTAATAAAATACATTATATAGGTATGTATATATATTATATAGAAATATCTATAGAAATGTAAAAGATATTATAACTAATATTGTTCTAATACGTATATATAGGAGATCAAACAATCGTACGAAAAGTACTTCAGGTCACTAATAAGTTACAACTTAAAATACGCGACATATTTATTACAAAATCTATTTAATTGTAACGATCTTGGTGCTCGGTACCTACTATTGCTGTGTTAATAGTAGATAAATAGCTACCAGAACGTTGATGTGCAGGTCGCAGACACTTCTTCAGTTGTTGTAGTCGTGGATGATAATAAAATAAGAGAACAGTTGTTGTATAATATAATATGTAATATTATAATATACCTAATATGTATAATATGTGAGTTTTTATTATTACACTTCGATAAATTTTCTAAGTCCAAAATATTGTTGTACAGAGTGACGTGAAGGTGCTTGCACTATTGGGTGGTAGTACACTAGTACACATAGACATATAATATAATCTATTATATGTCTATGGTATTACACGTCTGAATACAGGCCTATTCGGGCTCCCTTTTATATGAGGTTCCCCGTACCCCTTGCCTACATATTATACGATATCTCGGTTCTCACGGATGTGATTTGTGTGGACATTGATCCAGCCTACGCATTTATGATTGAATGTATACTAAACTATGACTATTATTAAAATAATCATTATTTACTCTTTTTTTATTTGAATTTCGTGGTATGCACTCAGTGTTTTCCCTATGATTATTATAAAAATAATCATCTCATTCTTTTAATTTTGGATCTCGTTGTGTGTGTTCAGTATTTCTGTCAAATGTTACAACGCCTATTTCTGAACCCTAATTTTCTTATTACCTGGTTATGCCGGTCCATCGTATATTATAATAATAACTATGTACTTATGAAATTGGTATTACTCCGTAGTAACTGGCTTACTACATAATCGTAATGAAACTGTTATTATTTATGTATTTAAAAAAGTAATTGGGTTAGAAATATAAATCGAGTTATGGTGTATAATAATTTGTATGCTTTATTTATTGGTTGATATTTTTAAGCAAACAGGAACTTTAATTAATAAATAGGTCGCGATTTGTGTACCGCATGCTAGTACCATAAGTGCAACTAGGGGGGGGCTTAGCCCCCAAAAATTCTAATAGCCCCCCCCCAAAAAAAAAATAAATTATTTAATTGATTTCTAAAATATTAATAAACCTTTAAAAATTCAGCTGTATTTCGACCTTTCTATAAATCGTGGCTAATATATCAGAGTCATATATTACTCTTATTTTCTCTTTTCTCTTTGATACACGTTTTTATCGTTCGTATTAGGTATGTACGCACTGATTAATTGGCGATTAAAAGTGATAATCTGTTACGGGTACACACAGATTTAAAAAAAGAACCAAGTCCTTTAAAAGAGTACACTGTTACAGTAACGACTGCAGCAGACTCTGAGGATTGTTCCAACAAAAATGATTCTGAGGCAGAGAATTATTGAAAATTAAACGCATTTTTTGTTAATTGTTATCATGGACACAATCATTTCAAACATGAAATGTAGATTTTCTACAGAAAGTCTACAAATTCCTACATCAGCTGATTGTTTGATGCAATTTGATTTTAATGGTAGTTTGCATCTGATTGATCATTATAAAGTAATTAAATATATACATTTTTTTTAATAAAAATACTTCTAGACTTTGGAAATTAATTAGGTATTTAAGCTTAATTAATTGTTGCATAGTCCTAACTAATTATTTCTTTATATATTGTTATTTAGTAACTGATACAAATTAATATAGTATTTTAAATTTTAATGTGTTTTTCAGGATTTATTTGAAATTAATAAATGTGATCTTAAAAATGAAATGGCTGTCTTTAAAAATTCATACTGCAATAATGAAAAAACAGATAGTTTTAGTGTCATTCAAGAAAATTTATCTAAAAAAGTATTCCCAAATTTATATGGGATGGTTCAAGTTGCCAATATATTGCCAATTTCTTGAGATGATGGATCGGGGGGTGTGGGGGCATAGACCCCCACGGGTTACTTTTGGTATAATATTGTGGTGGGGCTATAGCCCCCCCCTAAGATTTTGTGCTAGTTGCGCTACTGGCTAGTACCTACATAAGAGTATAAGGCCCTCCGCACACGAAGCTACTAAAAAGAAACTAAACTAGTAAGTGATTTGAATCACTATAAAATCACAAACTGATTACAGACGCGGCTCCGCACACGAAGCTACTCATTAGTGACCAAAATCATAAATTTGCACAACGAAATGAGCGCGTAGGTACTATAAAATAGGAAACTAGAAACTCAAATAGCTAGGATACTGGGAAGTCGCGTCGCTATCAACTAGTTTACAACTCGTCGTAGACAAGTTACTAACAGGTAGCGTCGTGTGCGGAACTCCACTTGATTAAATTGCCAGCAACGCAAAACAAACTTATCAGTAACTAGAATTACTAATCGGTTTTATTTAGGTATCTCCGTGTGCGGAGGGCCTAAGACATACATGGGCGATCATTTACGCAACTGCATTGACGCGAAACGTCCTAATCGACCATCCATGAAATAATGATATGTATCGCTCCCGCGGGAACTTTGTCGCGTAGACGATGGGCGTGGTTACGGCCTACCGCGACGGCGGCATACGCCGCATAACATCTCTTGAGCGTTGGATATTTTTCACTTCTACCAAAACGGCCTCTTAAGAGGACGCCACACCCGCATGTGTTGTCTCCGTCTTACAAATGTACAACATAGCAAAAACTGTTTTGCGCGGGACAACTTTTCTCGCACCATATTTGTTGTAGAACTACCAAATTTTCACAGCATTTAAAGAAGAACTTTAACTGTGCAACAGCGTGCTCTTTTTTTCAATAGCACCATCCAATCATTTTTTATAAGCAAATGAAAAAACCAAATGTTTAGAAGCAAATAACTTGTATTGTATATATGTTATTTAAAATATGGGAACGCCGTTTCACAGATAAAGTTCTTCTTTAAATGCTGTGAAAATTTGGTAGTTCTACAACAAATATGGTGCGAGAAAAGTGGTCCCGCGCAAAACAGTTTTTGCTATGTTGACATTTGTAAGACGGAGACAACACATGCGGGTGTGGCGTCCTCTTAAATGTTATAGACTATAATAGTCATCAACTCAATATAATTATTGGGAGGGTTATAGTACACAGTATTACAGTATACACACGCCAACACAATATAATATGCACCTCTGAGTCAGTGCACATACTTCGATAATAAATGAACTGCTGTAGGTATGTCAAATAATTCTCCCACTCGATGACGAATTTCGATCACGCACCGTCCAATGGACATGAACAGTTTTTACCACAAACGATGACCGAATGACCAATATATTTTCATATCGCGTATTCGTTTGCATGGTCATCATTTATCACGTATTTTTCTAGATTAAATATTCTGTAAAAAATAAACATTTTAAGTTATATTGTACTGAACACTGACACTGCAAGGGCACATTTCACATGATTAATTCCCAACGGTAACATTGGTATTTTTATTTTACATTAGAATTATCCCAATACATACTGCAGTTTACTACTATTGTTACTAATTGTTACCATAAAAAAAAGGATTTTTCAGTTTTCCAAGACTTCAGGTATAAACAATCTAGCACCTATATTTTGTAATATTTGAACCTTAAGGTAAGAATATTTTATATCTATATATACAATAAGTTAAATTTACAATAATATTTTTCCTATAATACCTATATGCTTCACTAGGTTTATTATATAATAACAAATTTTGAAATATGTCTGAATTAATCGAATTAAAACTTAAAGAATGGGGATTTGAACAGTTTGTTGAACGTTATAACGGTAAGTACACAACTTACGATATTACTGTGTTGCGTGTCCATAGATAACTTAGAATATTTTAACTTTTCATAATAATACAATGATGCGAATTATGTGAATTTTAATCTTTTCAACCATTAAACTGTTTTTAGAACAAGAAATTGATTCAACAGCTTTTCTCACTTTAACTGAGCTTATGGTTACCAAATTATTACAAAAATCAACACTGCGGGGTCAACAGTCAACATTTATTGATATTGTGAGGCAACTGATTGAGAAACATAATATTAAGGTAAAGGTATTATTATTATTATTTTTTTTTTTTATTAGAAATCAAAATAAATGGTTACAAATTAAACAAATTTAACAAATAGGTACAGTTTTGATTACCTACCTCTTGTAAGCTAATAGCTTCTGTTGGAGGTAGGGAGTTATTACATTTACCAATAAAATAAAAAATAAAATATATAATTTCTTATAATATTACGTACATTGACTTATGAATATGAACACTTTAAAAAATATAATATAATAATAGAGAAGAAAAGACAAATTGATGTAAAGTTTTAACATAAATAAATTAGTAATACATTTAGTTGATACAGCATTAAAGCAATCAAAATAATATACTGTTATATATATAAATAACATACAATTTAACAATAATTTACAATAAAGAATAAAATTAATACACATTATTATTCAATTCTAAAAATATATATTTATATAATAATCCTTTATTATTAATTTTTTTACTTGTAATACTATTTCTTTTAAAGTCCAGAGGCATAGAATTCTAATGAGTCTGGCCTAGATAATCTACAAATGTTTGACCAAAAGATTTATAGGTATATTTAACTGGACAATCATATTTTCTAATTTCTCTTATATGACTATTATCACTATGTAACTGATCAATATCAAGTTGCTTAATAATGAACATAATTGCTATTTTTTTATATAATTGTCTTACTGGCAAGACCCCTAATTCCTTATAATTTCCAATTGTTAATCCTTTAAGTGAAAGCTTATTTAGGCAAATTCTAACAATGTTATTTTGATTTATTATTAGGTGATTTATAATATTGTCTCGAAGGCCACCCCATACTAATAAACCGTACTGGAAATTGGATTGGTATAGAGCAAAATAAACTAATCTCATTGTTTGCTTTGGAACTATTTTTTTTGTTTGAACATATTATAGGTTATGAAGCGTAGTTTCCCTAATAGATTGTTAACATGTAAGTTCCATTTCAAGTGATTATCAATAATTAATCCTAAGATATAAATATCTTATTTTTATAACTTTATTAATTTGCTTACAGTTAATTGAGTTACAGTTCTTGTTATTAGAACAATCGTGTATTGAAATGGAGCTATAAATTATAATAGTAGATTCGGATTTGTTAATAGAGAACGGAATAAACACTGTTTTTTCTATGTTTAAGGATAGATTTCTTTCTTTCAATGTTTTTAATATTTTACGAAAGCCAGTTACAGATTTTTCATAAACACCTTCCCATGTTTTATGTGAGAAAAGCAGACAGGTATCATCCGCATATGTTACTATTGAACCCTCGATGGCTATAAAAAATTATAGCAATCTATTTTTTTTCACTACTGATACCGGTACCTAAACTTACTGCTGACTACTGCTACCAAAATTACATAATAATAACAAATAATATAAACACATAATAACAATAATATAAACAATTGATTGCTATTAGTTACAGTTTACATATTATAATATTAATACGAGATGTTAATGGAGGTATTAGTATTGTGTATATAAATGGTTGCCATTGGTAACTCGGGCAGATGAGGTATCAAATTGTCGCATTTATGGTTTCAAACAAAGAAATTATATCTTAAGGCTCCCGGGGCCGATGCCATTTTGTCCTCAAAAATACACTCTGTGGGAATAACGATACGGACTTGTAGAATCAACCAAATTTCATAACTTTTTTTTTTAATTGCTAGAAGGAAATATTCTACAGCCCTCATCTATCTCGGTTTTTCAATATTTTATTCTCAAACTTAATAATATGTCCAAAAAAGGTGCTCTGCTGTACAGTGGGTTACATGTGGGTCACTTTATAATGGATGGTATTAAATTTGAACTCAATGATATAATATAATTGTATGAGAAAAACGATTCTGAGCGGAGACGGTATGTCAGTCTATAGCAGGGGTCGGGAACCTTTTCGTAGGAAAGAGCCATTCTTTTAAAAAAAATACAAAACTATAATATCCAGGAAGCCGCACAGGTTTGAACAACCTTTTTTTAGTAGGCAATAAAATAAAAACATAATAATACGTCTTAAATTTAGAAAATATAGAAAAACTTTATTTCATTAATTCATTATTATTATTGTTTATACAAATATAATATTATTTAATTAAACACAATAAAACACAAAATAACGTATCTATTTAATATTAGTGGGATTTTTGACACTGAATTTATCCAGACAGCTTATTCAATTCTGGAGAGTAATCTGTAGTTTTCAACTTCAAACAAGCATCAAGGCTGACATCATTCAGTTGATTTCTTAATTTATTCTTAATAAAATTCATATTTGAAAATGTTTGCTCACAAATGTAAGTAGACCCAAAAATTGTCAAAATTCCGAAAGCGACCATTTTTAATTGGCTGAAACTTTCGGGAAGACTGTTCCATACATCAAATATAACTTGCCCTTCTTTTTAACATTTAGCGAGTTCCGTCCATTTATGGTAGACATCTCGAAGTTTATAGAAATACCTCTATTGGAAAAAAAGCACAAGAAAAAAATACCGAACAACGTCGCATCTGGAATTGACCTGACGAGGACCGTGCTCACGTATCGAATAATATAATTTTGTATTCTACCGAATAATGATAGTCAAGTTTAATAGAACACACACATACATATTATAAACACAATAAAACTAACTGTGCGATAATATTAATAAATAATTATTTAGAAATTCAGAATTATTATCATTATAATAACGTATAATATAATTTATATTTTACGGATATATCTATATTGATAATTATCCAAAGAGCCGCAGGTTGCATGTTGAAGAGCCGCAGGTTCCCGACCCCTGGTCTATAGGTTTAGACATATTATATACCTACATATCAATGGTAATAAAAAAAAAATATGCACAGTCTTATCATAGAGCATACTTCTTATTCATTTAATACTATGGTAGATTGTATGGATAGGCCATAATATTTTGATTTTTTGATTTTTCAGTTTCATATATCCCCGAATAATATTTTTAAATTACAACAAAAAACTAAAATCGTTAATATTGATTTAATACGTATGTAATTTCGTCCAAATTTGAACTTAAAATGACTATAAAAATAAACTGTGCTTGTGTATTTTTTAGATTTTTTGGTAACAGAATTAACTACTTACATGGAATCTTGTTTTAAATTTTCAATCCTTAGATATAAAAGTTGAACATTTTATAATTTTTTAACTACAAAATAATTATTCAATTTTATATTTGATACATTTTGTCAAAATTCGATCTTTGAATCCCTATAAAAAAAAATTGTGATTATGTATTTTTAATATTTTTTTCAATTGCTATTGTAACAATATATCAGGAGCCTTGTTTTACATTTTTAATCTTTTTGGCCCAACACTTTATTGATATTTTTAGAAAAAAAAACTAAAAAAATTGAAAACTGAAAATGTCCGTAAACAGCTCAAAAAGAGTCAAACTATTTTCAAAAGTGTATGGTGTATAGGAAATACTAATATAAACATTCAGTGAAATTTTCAAGTGCCTACAATTATTGGTTTTTGAATTACAACAAAATAAGGAAATTGCCACATGAGAAATCTAGTGAATATCCAATGTTGTAAAAATTTGAATTTAAAACGCTCATAAAAATTTGATTTGACTTATAAACATTTTTTTTTTTTGATAATGGTAGACAAACTTATGAGGAATCTTGTATTACATTTTAAAACCTTAGATTTAAAAAGTAAAATTTTTACGAATTTTTAACTCAAAATAATTTGCTAATTATTGTGATTTTTCCATATTTTGTCAATTTTTGAACTTAAAATGCTTGTAAAAAAAAACTGTGACTAAGGATTTTTAATTATTTTCATCTGCCTTTGAAACAATATACTAGGAGCCTTCTATTAAATTTTCAAGCTTTATTAACCAACAAATAAAATTTTATTGATATTTTTAGAAAAAAAACTAAAAAAAAACGGAAAATTAAAATGTCCCTAAACAGTTCAAATTAAATCAAAATATTTTGAAAATGTTATCGTGTATAGAAAATGCAAGTATAAACAACCAGTGAAAATGTCATGTATCTACTGTCATTTGTTTTAAAGTTACACCAAAAACCAAATTCGATTTTGTTAAAAATCGATTTTGCGTAAAAATTCCCGTTTTTCCTTAATTTTTCTTTTGTTTTTCACGGCGCTTTTGAAAATTACTAATAATCGAAGCATTATTTCGACTACTTATCGTGTACACAGACACAAATAAAATAAAAAAATAAATTAAAAAATTAAAAAATTAAAAAAAACACACATCATTGTAAAATCAATACATTCATCGTTCCACTCAGAATCTAAAATACAAGATAAAAATTATTTTTTTTACAAATTTTTTAATACAACTACTTGAAATAAAATACAAAATCAGGGATCGAAGCGGGCTGTAGGAAGTTTTCTTCTTTCAGATAAAAAATTCTCATCAAAATCAGACAATTCTACAAAGCTTGAGAGTTATTCCCTTACAGTAAATTTTTTCGGTATGAGTATATAATACACACTATCAATCTCCCCTAAATAGGTATCGGGTAGTCGATTAGGGGAGAAGTCTTATAATTGAGATGGAGTGTTGGCAATTTAGTTTTCAAATTTTATAGAATTGTGGAAAATATAAGAAACTGGCACTTGGACCCAAAAAATAGGAGTATAGGTTGGTACTTAAAAACTAATTAACCGATTTTGTGAACATTTAATATTATTCTTGGACTTAATATAGATATGTATTTATAGTTTATATTTTATTTTTAGCCTAAAATGGTGCGAACAGTCTGGAATAAAGAAGTATGCTGTCGTTATTTAGCTAAGCTGATTGAATTGCCAAGTAAAAACCCTGAAACTGTAAAAAGAGCAGTGCAAGCACTAGTTGATGGCAAGGTGGAACCAGAATATATTTTTAATCGCATATATCCAAATAATAGTGAACAATATATCATGTGCATATGTTGTAACTTCAAGGTATCATTTATTATATATATAAATATATAATCAACTTTAAATGAGCACAAAACACAAAAAATATGTTTTTTTAATTTGAAAACATGTTAAATTCTAAGAAAAATGTATGGTATTAAATTTAAATGTGACTTTATTTTAATATTTTTCAACTGCCATGGAAACAATATATTAGGAGCCTTTTATTAAATTGTCAAGCTTTTTGACCCAACGAATAAAAAAAAAAAACTAAAAATGTCTGTAAACAGATCGAAACAAGTCAAAATATTTTGAAAACTGTTAATTGTATATAAAACCCTAATATAATTATTCAGTGAAAATTCCATATATCTACAGTAATTTGTTTTAGAGATACACACAAAACCAAAATCGATTTTGCCTAAAAGTTCCCGTTTTCCGTTCCTTTTTTTTTTTTGTTTTTCCCGGCGCTTTTGAAAACTTCTGATAATTTTTTACTCTTGACATCTTTGGTCGTTTTTGAACAATATTTGTAACTCTATAAAAAACGACAGCAGATATATGAAATTTTCACTGAATGTTTATATTAGAATTTTCTATACACCATCAAATGTTCTAAATAGTTCGACTCATGTTGATATATTTATAGGTATGTACAATTTACGATTGTTATTAGTTTTTCTTTAGCTAAATATGCGGATAAAAAAGTATCCGTTCTGTCAAAATACTTGAAAAATACAAGGTTTCACATAAGTTGTTGTTAGTGGAAATTAAAAAAAAAAAGTGAACGTAAATCCACATTATTTTTTAATAAGCGTAGTTATATTATAGGCTGACGGACCTGTCTTGGCTAAGAATTATTTTACTTACACAATAATTTTATATTATTGATTTCAAATTTAATATATCCATTACAGTGACTTCTCTAAACACATAAATACATAATTAAAATAAATAATTTGTTTTTTTTTTTAAGAATATATAATATGAAAACTAAAGCCCAAATTTAATATACTTTTGCAATAAATTTTGGATGGGGGCTGAGCCTTCTCATGCTCCCCCCATTTACGCCAATGTTGGTAACCCATATTGCAAACCATCTGACGATTTCTTGCGGCGTTCTCTTTTGTACAGTAAGTTGTACACTTGTACATGTTCGTATAGTCAAGTGCTGGTCGTGGTTATGGTAACAGTAATAGCCTGTACATTCAATACATTCATCGCTCCGTTTAGAATCTAAAATACAATTAGATTAGTAAATCATTGTGTAATGTGAGACACTATTACACATAAGATAGACAGTGGATATATCGAGTCTGGCACAATCACAACACACCGCCATTTTAAATACGCAATATTTTTTCAAATTTTATAAAAAAAATTTTGGTTAGAAATTCATGAAAGTTATTTTTTTCATAGATAACCTTATTAATACAAGGTACACAACAAGGATTTCTACTTTCATGAAAAAGAAAAAGTTTACCGGAAAGTCAGGCTATTTATAGCCATGAGATATTTTCGATTTTCATAAATTTTTTAACTATTTAATTATTTATACAAGACATATGCTAGGCCGACACAACGTCTCCGCTCAGAATCGATTTTCTTATTCAATGATTTATCATTTAATTCAAATATAATACATCCATACAAAGAGATGCTTGACAACTATTTTACAACATAGTGGTAGGTACCCACTTGTCCATCTTTTTACTATTATATTACATTCCTGGTAACCGTCCAGAAAAGTCATTGGTTTCCTTTTTATGTATTTAATATGTACGGTTTAATTATTATCTTTGTTTATATTTTTTCACTTTGTGGGAGTTATGCGCCCGTTTGGCTTTTTGGCACTACATTAAATACCTATTAAATAGATGCAATTCTTTCTATAACTAATATTGTGTTACGAGTATTATTATTTGTTTCCTATTTTGTACCAAACATCGAAACATATTTAAAATCCACTTCACAATATTACTTTAATGACAATAATATTATGAAAATATATTCTTAGTAATACTATATATAGGCCGCTGGCCGTCTATTCACATTAGGTGGTTAGTTTTTTTTACATTGAATTTTTGCCAAATCTTATTTAATGGTTGTAACCTATTATTTAACTGTTCTAAGTTCTAACCGCAATAGTTTAATTTTTAAAAATATTTTTTTGTGATGTGTGATCCTTTAATATTATATTTTCTATGCATAAATGATGACATTAATAATTCAAATTATTTTAATATTTGTTTTCAGAAATATATTGGACCCTTGAGGCGATCACTTATGTTAAATGAAATGAAGATTGATGGAGTTCGACCACCACCATCATGTACACCTGCAGTTCCCGATGCGTCGTGGTATTGGGGACGGCTTCCCGGGATACGATCTCATTTAGAACAGAGTATAGAAAAATTGGTATTGCCATAGGTTTAACTTACACTATTCGATTATTAGACTTCTTATATTATTCAATGAGTTATGAGTGGTTGAATCAAGACTCGTTATGCCATTGGGTCGGGCTTGCCATAATTGTCTATCTCTACATGTAAACACACAATAATTTATTTACCTTTAAAGTATATTTTTGATCTTTTATTGTACCTAACAGTGGTGCCGAAGTGTTTAAAAAATTCAATGCCATTGTACATCAAGGGGCCCCCATTATCTCCTCTTTTTTAAATTTAACAATCATATGCGGTCCAAACACCTATAGCATAAGCACCCGTTTGGCTTTTTGGCACTACAGAGTATTATTATTTGTTTCCTATTTTGTACCAAACACCGAAACATATTTAAAATCCACTTTAAAATATTACTTTAATGACAATAATATAATGAAAGTATATTCTTAGTAATACTATATATATAGGCCACGGGCCGTCTATTCACATTAGGTGGTTAGTTTTTTTTACATTGAATTTTTACCAAGTCTTATTTAATGGTTGTAACCTATTATTTAACTGTTCTAAGTTCTAACCACAATAGTTTAATTTTTAATAATAATTTTAAGAAAATATTTTTTTGTGATGTGTGATCCTTTAATATTATTTTTTCTATGCATAAATGTTGACATTAATAATTCAAATTATTTTAATATTTGTTTTCAGAAAAATATTCAACCCTTGAGGCGATCACTTATGTTAAATGAAATGAAGATTGATGGAATTCGACCACCACCATCATGTACACCTGTACAAGAGTCCATAAATATTCCAATTGAATCTTGCAATAATAATCCCGCCGAAACCTCCCGCGTAGTTGGTTCTATGGAAGCCGACAACATATTACAGTGTTCGATGGATATGGGTGGTAAGAACGATGATGTAGCCCAGAATGAAAAAAAACCCGTAAGTGAATTTTCGTTATGGAACTTTAATTGACCCACTCATGCAGCTGTAGCTGTGTTTAGAAATACGTTTAGGTTTCTACAGATTATTATTTTTTTCCGTATACCTACGGTTGTCATATAGGACCAACATCGTAAGCGACCGTCGATCCCCGTGAGTATCAAGTTATCGGACGATTCGCACAACGTTGCTACCACGTCATCGACAGCAGACCGGAATTCCAGCATGACTCTCGTGAGTCTCTCGTTTCGAATAAATAATATTATGTAGTATTAATTTACATGTAACATTTTTTCGTATTCTGTGTCCGCGCAGTATTGTTGGCTGACGTAAGCATACATTATTTTGTTTTAATAATTTAATATAATATTTTCGGTATTTGTGTTTTAGTCTAATAACAGTTCGTCGCAACCGAAACGCCAAAGGATTTCATCGAACTCTTCATCGTCCAAACACGAAGATGAAGTAAATCTCGAGAGTACAACAATGATTCTATATATCCACTTGCCAACCTCTTTTGTTTTGTTGCTAGTCAACAAGTTATAGATTAGCTATTAGAGGCTCAGATTATCTACATTGAATGCTTTCTGTTGTAATTTCCTATGTAATATTATTACATACAATTATTCGTGTTCTGCGCCCGCTTATCACTTATTTGCTTACATACGCAAACATTTGTTTTAATATATCGTCGGTATGTGTGTTTTAGTCTGATAACAGTTCGTCGCAATCGAAACGCCAAAGTAGTTCATCGAGCTCTTCATCGTTCAAACACGAATATGATGATGTAAGTCTCGACTGTACAACACCTCCAGTGTCGAGTGATGTAAGATTTAATAGTTTAATTTTAATAAAATTTAGTTAAACTAAGTCATTTTTTTCCAAAAGTTTTCATTACGTCTTAGATTCTGAGAGGAATGATGAATGTATTGATTTTACAATGATATGTGGTTTCGTTTTTATTATTTTTGTGTCTGTGTACACGATAAGTAGGTATAATCAAACAAATTTTTAAATTTTCAACTTCAGTACTTTTCTGGCCAGAAATTTAGTTGGTACATTCGAGAGTTTAAAATTGAAAATTCCCAGTTATTTTTTTCGGAAAAATAAAATTAAGGAAAAACGTGAATTTTTATGCAAAATCTATTTAGTTTTTTTGTTGCAAATCAAAAACAAATAATTACAGATATTTACAATTTTTACCGAATGTTGTTATTAGCAATTATTATTTTCTACTCGCCATTACACTTTTAATTAGAACTCTATTTGATCAAAATATATTTTATACCCATACTATCCATAATTTAAATTTATATATTTTTTTTATAAACTACTGTCGATAAAAAACTATTCAAAATAATTGAAAATATATGACAGAAGTTGAGAGCAAATCCACAGGAATTTTTTATGGGCATCTGATATTAAAATTTCGATAAAATTCGTCAATAAACGAATAACCGTATACATATAAGACATAAGTACTCGTATTTGGATTTTCACCAAATCTTTATTTTATCATTTTTTATACTTACATGATACAATTTAAAATAATGTTGACTCTTTTTGAGTTATTTATATACATATATTTTACAATTTTTTACAAAAATTAAAAGTTTAAATTTTGATACAATTCATGAAAATCTTGAAAATATGCAAAATATTTTGAAGTTACAAATTTATAAAATATTTAATTTTATAGCTTATGATCAAAAAATAAAACAAGATTTATTCTATGTAGCTTATGCTGTAACCAAAAAATTTATAAAATATGCAAACACAGTTTTATTTAAATATATTTTAACAAAGAATAACAACTTTAATTATTTTGTTGTAATTTATAAATATTATTCGTGGGTACTTGAAACTTTTAAAGTACCTACCTATAATATAATATTTTTACACACAAAGACATTTTTAAATGCAAGTTTTAGGCAAAAATTTAATCAACCAACCTACTAGATACTGTATTACTTACGATAAATTACTTAAATAGCTATAATATCATAACATATACTTAGTTTTAATATCGACAGATAACCATATTCTCTTTCAATCTTTTTTTGTTCTTTTAAAGTATATTATTGTATTTTGTAGACACAATGACATTTTTAAATGCAATTTTTTGTCATATTAAAATTAATTAAACCTACTTGCTACTGTATTATTACATAGGTAATTTATAATAGTAAAATAAATTACTTTAATAGCAATGATCGTTTCATAAAATATACTTAGTTATAAATTATAATATAGGTTGACAAACTTTTCTTTTAGAATTGTTTTTTGTATACAATGATTCATTATACCCACCTGTTTTGTTTTTAGTCAACAAGTTATAGAAGAACGGACGACGATGAAGAAGACGACGACGATGAAGAAGATGACGACGATGAAGAAGACGACGAAAATAACCAACTGTCAAATACCACCCAGGCATCAATAAGTGAAACTTTAAAACTTGGTCAATGGAAACCATATTATTGCAGATTCACGACAGAAAATATAGTATTGGAGACCAATATTGGACCGAATATTTGGGAATGGACTGCCGATGCCGCGAAGTCAGCTTCAAGCATTGATTCGCACAGTGTTCTGTTTAGAGAACGTTTACAGAAAAGTTATGAAACGACTATACAAAAAATTCCGACTCATTCAAAATTTTGTATGGATCAGAAGCTAAATCAACCTTTTTACGGTACAAACAATAAAGAGTGGAGACGGATCGCAGCACCAACCGGAATGGTTAATTTGTACAAGGCACTTCATGAATTCGAAAACAAACACAATTGCAAATTTACATTTTTACCGTCCTCCATTGGTAGATGCCTTATAGAGTACACCGAAAACGCAGACCTGGATTTGGATCCAGTGCACTCAGTCAGTAATAACGTCTTGGATGTTTTGCGTTACCCCTTACGGAATGGTCTTATACCGGAGAAGTATTGGTTAGATCTTGAGTTGTTTCTATCGTCCGTTTTCTTAAATAATAATTATTTTGATTCCGAATCTACACGTCGCGGTAAGACCAAGACAGTTCGATTTAATTTCATAGAAGGCGAAATCGAAGCGCTAGTCTTCGACTATTGGAGCCGGTCCACCATCGATCTAATATGTTACAACGAAAGCAAATCCAGACGTGATTTTAAATGCCTACTCCAGTATTTGTTCCAGAGATTATGTTTTCTTTACAGGTTAGGGACTCGGGAAGAGGGTGTTGGATTATTTTTAACGAATTTTAAAGAATTAGCAAAGTTTGATCTGGATAAGGACATCATACCGAAGAATTGTCTATTATTTCTTAAAAATAACATATCGAAAGTTTGGCCGTATATCGAGAACAGCGACCGGAATCTGTGGTGCGCTTTTTTTACCGAAATGAAAGTGAACTATATCTTGACAGCACGTACCTTTTCAGCAATGTTTAAAAAACTAGATCAAAATTTCGAATTTATTATGAGCAAGGCTGCACAAGTGAGGGCGATTCGGAAGAATCTGTTGTCATCCGACGTTAGTCTATGGTACGCCTCTACTACCGTTTCCGAAGAACGTCAAACCATTGTGAATAAAAGTGATGTGATCAGAATTTTACCAGAATTTTTCCTATTGCTCTGGGAAGTCGACAGTGTGTTATGCACCGCAATTGATAATTTTTATTACCATCACATTTTTTTGCTATCGCGATACGCAATCTTACACAACGTCGACATCTCAACCAGAGTCTTAAAGCATACCGAGGTCCAAAAGTTTCTGGATAACCGTCAACCGCCTAAAATTGGGTCGATGTCTTACGTGAAATTACCGTTGTCAGAAAGTATGAAATCTAAAATGGTTTCATGTTTCCGGCGGTTGTACATTCGGGACAGTGATAAATTCGATGTCGAGTTCGAGATCACTGAGTTTGATGAGTTGTTGTACCAGTCGCTGAATGAGTTGATCTGCAACTGGATGAAAAAAGCGTTGTGTCCGATAATTGGTCACGATGGTCAATTTTCGAAAGAGCGCTACGAAAGTCTGTATCCAAGCAAGGTGATAGCAATGTGTTATAGCCCTTTTTCACTTCCACAAAATTGGTTACGTTGCCACGCATTTGCGAGTTCGCTGTACGCACACATGTACGGTCAGAACAAGAGAGAAAGTGTATCAATGAAGTACGAACCGATTTTATTTATTTATTAAACTAGCTTACAATGTGTTATTTAAATATATATTTTTATTTAGATGCTTTGAACTCGATTGTAATTTCAAACGCGATGTCTCTGTCTACTACGACAAAATCATCGCTGAATCAGACAACGTTTGATGAAAAAACAATTCTTCTCAAAAAAAAAAAAAAAAAGCTTGGACATAACATTTTAAATACTTTTTTATATATAGTATCTGCATTTAAAATTAAATGTACATTTTTAAATATATATGATACTAGCTGATCCTGTGCATTTCGTTGCCCTTTAAATGTACCAACTCTAATCTCTATATATGACTCAAACTTTGTTCAATTCGTTATTTAATATTCGGTGTATGGTGTTCAAAATTTATCTTAACTTTTCCGTTGCCTGGATTAAAAAATGTGATTCGCGGCAGTACATTATCAGGTAGGCAATCTACCTGCGGTAGATCGCGGACACAGTGCTGTTTGTACGTAAGTGTATTATCTAACACATCTAAAGTATCAATGTTATACCAAGTTTGTTTTGATATAATACGTTGGATTAATATAATCAAATTTAACCCTTTTTAAATTAGTCCATCTTCTTCCCAGAGATCTACACACAAACATTCATTTATATATAATATAGCTGATCCTGCACACTACGTGGCCCATAAAAAATGACAAAAAAATTGTGATTGTTCAACTCCTTTTTGGTGTAACTCACTTCAGTAAGTGCAGCTCAGTCGATGAGGGGTTATATGTTCGAATAAAATGTGTTCGAAAAAGCATATGTTCGGATGAATTTTTGTTCGAAAACTTTGTATTTATTTTTTTGATATTATAGATATTAAGATATCTATTATAGTATTATCTATAGTATATTCCGACTATTATACCGTTAACCAAGGAAAGCCAGTTATTTAAGACTTATATTCAACAATTAACATTATGGCGCGTTTCCCTCGTCGCAGTCGTCTGGCTCCGGCCTAATATATAGTATCTGATAATATAGAGCAATACATTTTATCTACTCGTTATATTTTAGTAAGCGTTATCATAATATGGGTTTCTGTAACATAGGTACCGACTGTAATTTACCTACTGCTGCAGTATATTTCCGATTGTCAGACCGAATGAAATAGCGAACGAATGTGTCGACGTGTACTATAAAATTAATATCTACTATACATAATAAGCATATGTTATTACTTTATTAGTTAATGAGTATGAATTTATGTTTAATAAAAATAATTTTCGTAAACGGGATAATGAAAATGTGTACTATTGGATCTGTGTCAAAAAATGTGGTGCTAAATAAAATAAAGAACATATCATTTTCGAACACGTAACCCGACACCAACTCAGTCACCCTGGTAGGCTATGTGCGAACATTCAATTTGATGCATGCTTGTACCTGATCTGCCCAATTGACCTGCAATAGCAACCAATAATAAATAAATACTATTTCTATTAATTATTTCTTCTATCACCAATAAAGCAACCATTTATAAACAAATATTTCCATCGTAAAACTCAAAATCCCTGTTTGAGCACTTCTATTAATGGCCGTAGCATGATGTTATATAGCGTATGGATTCAACAGCTGGTAATTGACCAGCAACCGCTTCAGTAACCTACAATAATAATAATGATTTTTAAAAAATAAAATATTTTAATTTTTTTTTATTTCTAAAACACGAAAGTAATAATTATAACAAGTCGATACAAATCGACTAACGATTTAATTTAGTTGAAAGTTATTTTTGCATATAAATAAAAATAATTTTAAAACATATTTACAAAACAAAAAAAATAATAATAATGATAAAAATATATAAATATATAATATACATATTTTATATATATTATACAGTTATATAATTAATGATCTCATAACTATTAATATTATATTTATATTATATTTACCTGTAAAGATAATGCACCTAAAACTGCTTGAGTACTAAGTTCAGTATGTTTTGCTATTGTTTTTAAAAATTGCATTGCTTTTCTGGCTTCAATTTTTGCAATATCAGGTGTATGGTTGTGCTCTTTTTCACTTTCATGAATAATTTGACCATCCTTCAAATTAATACGACCACGACATTTTTTCGTATTGCATTCGATACATCACCAACTACTGTTTTTGTCAAATCTATATAAATATCCGTTATAGCATAGAAGGTCTCGACCTTTTTCACTTTTAATGATTTCCATTTTATTATTAAAATTATGATTTAAAAAAATTAAAATGTTAAGTACAATAAATTGAGTAGTGTTCAGTGCACAACGTGTGAAAATATAGTAAAAACCTACGTCTACTGCTGCGTTATCGTCGTTGGAATTTTATTCTATTTCGATACGATAACGAACAATGCGGCAAATAAGTAATAACATTATCTGATTAATGGTTATCAATTTATCATCAAACATAAAGATTATCTGACGGGTTATATAGGTATTCACAGACACTGCGAACGAATTCAATTTTAATTTCGTCATTTCGTATACAGCAGTTTTGCACTTAATACAGTGAACTTTTATGAACTTTTACTCAGTTCAGTATAATATTATAAAGCGCTCATATGTCTCAGCGCTTAATTGTCGCAGCGCCCAATTTTCGGGACACCATAGCGTATATAGCCTTCCTCGATGAATGGACTATCCAACAAAAAAAATAATTTTTCAATTCGAACCAGTAGTTCCTTAGATTAGCGCGTTCAAGCAACCAAATAAACAAACTCTTTAGCTTTATCATAATATTAGTATAGATATATTATATAAAAATTTAAAATATATAGCTGTCTGTTATACTTTCACTAAAACTCAAAAACGGCTCGACCGTTTTTAATAATTTTTTTTTATTATTCTGTTCGTAATAATTGGGAAGGCTTGTATGAAATAACATTTTATGAAAATTCACTGGAAAAATAGGACATCTTTATGGAAAAAATACAACAGTATATTACCAGCATCATAATACAGTTTATTTTGTTTATTGTAAGGTTGTGCCATATTGGTTATGATTGAATATCGTTTTAGACTTGTAGTTTGTTGGTACTTATAATTTATATATTATATTTGATCAAACTATGGACTAAGATATAATGGACTGGAAACGAGCAGCTTGTCAGTGGCCACGAATGTATGAACAAGCAGGGGCGTCCCTAGACAGTTTTCTAGGGAGGGGGGAATCTATTTTTGAAATCAATAATTACCCTATGCTTATTTTTCAATAGTTTTTGCGAACTTAAGTCAATTTTACTGACTATATTATATTTTTTAATGCGACTACATTAGAAATAAGTTTACGTAACAAAGTATTGTTTCATAACGGTAAATTAAAATGTTGATCATTATTATTTTATTGACAATGAGAGTAATTTTATACATTAAAAATTGTTATGGTGATGGCGAATGCCCCTTCCCCCCTTGTGTACAAGAGGCAAGTTCGTGGAGGGGGGGTCACAATGGAGACCCAAAGCTTACAACGCCTACACGGACTAAGATACAAAATGTGAAGTCAAATAAAACCACCGGTAGCGCTGAAAACATTGGGTCCCCACTTTCCCAGAGTGAGTAAGAGTAACCTTTTTTTGGCCCTTCCTCAACCCTCTCCAACCTTCCGACCATGTCGTTTCCAGTCCATTATATCTTAGTCAGTGGTCAAAACTTTATAATTTAGTATTCCCAAAGCTAATTTTTCGACCGTTGTCCCGTGAACCTACACAATATGCACATCATAATAACAACGTGTTAATAAAATATTAGAAATTACGTACACGCCTCGAGGGGTCTGCAATATTTCATTCTCAAAATCGTTTTCAGTTATTTTCACTTTTTTACTTATGAATAATTGGTATAAAAAAATTAAAATATCAAAAATCGAGTCTTACACGTCACCCGATATAACTCCTCTACAACTTTTAATTGAGGTATTTTGCTCTAAAACCATTTACTTAGCCGTATTATTGGAACAAAATTGGAATGTTTTTGTACGGTATTTTCGCTGGTTTAGCGTCCTCAATGTTATATTATTGTCATTGAATAATAAAAATAATAATATTTATTATAGTCAACGATATTATGGTAATACATTCAAACATATTAGTAAGTATAAAAATTAAATACAAAATTGGTATGTCTATATTGATATTTTTACAAACTAAATGTAAATCGTAAGTTATTGTACGTAAAATATTGTTAACTCGAATACTTAAAATGTTTGTACAACAATTTGTACAACAATTTTTTAAACGTCGCGTGCTTGCGTATCACGAAAACACCTAACAGCGCATTCTCTTGATCATTGCATCAGAGCATATTTTAACATACAAAGTACGTGGCACTTGTGCCCCCCAGTGATATTTGAATGCTACCCAGTGGTGGGTGATTGTGCCACTGACCAACACATTCTCATAACGACCGATACCAATGTAAATTATTATGTACGTAATATATAGATATAAGGAACATAAAACCATTTTAAGCTCTCGATTTGTATAACTCTTGTGTATATTTTATTGAATGTAGAAGTGTAGAACACGTCACATTCACGCTATTATAACTTTGCCGGGATTGTTTATATTGATATAAAATACGAATATATCCATAATATATTCAATCTATAGATGTAGATGTAATATGAAAAGAAAACACGTAATTTTAACAGTGTCATCGATTTCTTCGGAAGTCATCGTCTTCATAAATTGAAAGCTGGTTGAGAATAACGTGCTACCTACATTTATGATTTTCTACTTATTTGTGTCCTGTGCTCCTGATTAATAATCACTCGACCGTACATTGTGCAGGAAAATTTTATATTACGTTTATACAATTATTTAGGAGTGTTCATAATTCATAGCACGGAAATACTTATACTCGTTTAATATTATGATTATAGATGGGACAGTGCGGTTCCCAGGTTTTGCGAGGCCCTGGGCATCATTAGAATTCGAGGCCCTGTATTTACAATATTATATCGAAATCAATAGGTACACTAGAATTTAGTGGTTCTCTATCTTTTTAAAGTTTTTATAGGTACCTAGTCGAGTACCACCTGCCCATTACGAAAATTTCAGAGTTCACGAATGAGAATCACTACCACCAGGAGAAATAATTGTAAACAAAATTATAGTTAAAAATAAATATAA